AGAGAGAGAGAGAGAGAGAGAGAGAGAGAGAGAGAGAGAGAGAGAGAGAGAGAGGCACACACAAATGGATTGGTGGAATACGGAGAATGAAGAGGGCCACGTGAGAATTGGGGAAAGGAGGGGAGAAGGGCAGCAGAAGCCATAGTAGGACGAGGGGAGGAAAGAATTTGAAGAGGCGCAGAGCGATAGCGCGGGTGGAGTTGGAGGAAGAGGAAGGGGCGCATGGCACAACATCATGGGAGGGAAGGGACAGTCAAGGGGTAAGGATGGTACAGTGACAAAGGGGAAGAGTGGGAGGGATAGCGGTACATGTCATGGATGGGGGAAAGATGGGGGGAAGATGGGGGGACGAGGAAAAGGGGAAGGGCTAAGGTGGAGTGTGGAAGGCCCAAAATCGCGCCGCGTGGCAGCGCCACGAGGAGCGATTTTTTCTGTACTTCTTTTTTCTCCCCTTATATGTGCTTTTGTGTGTGTGTGTGTGTGTGTGTGTGTGTGTGTGTGTGTGTGTGTGTGTGTGTGTGTGTGTGTGTGTGTTGCATACTCGTGAATACTTCAACGAGTATGGGGCAGAACCAAAGATCAACCAATATAGGATAAGCATGTATGCAGCGGAAGTCTGATAAATGGACTGACTCACATAGACTGACTCACAAAGATATCACTCCACACACAAACAATCGTGAGATGGTGGGGTCTGAGCCAATCATGGAAGATGCTCAGGCCCCGTACACGCATACACAGATGAAAGGTGGGAGGAGAGACGAAGGAGGTGGAAGATGTAGGTAGCGCCAGATGTCACCGAGATAGAATCCAGTAGGTCACCGATATGGTAATCCAAAATGTCATCGAACAAGATCAAATGTCATGGACAATAAGTCACCAATATCGGAGATACAGAGTCCCAATGTAACCGGTGTCCAATCTGTGATGCTGCCGAGTATCAACCCCAACAATCTCCAAGTCTTGAATCCGGTAAGTACCACAGCCTCTTACCACCGAAGTCCAACACTGATCTCTGTCCAACTAGTATCAAGTATCCAGTCTGAAGAAGAAGAAGATAAGGTCTGAATGAGAAGAAGAAGAAGAAGAAGAAGAAGAAGAAGAAGAAGTCTGAAGAAGAAGGAGGAGAGATGGCAGAGGAGAAGGAGGTGAGGAGGAGAGCCTGGGGCCGTGGAGGGAGGAGAAACCCCTCGCCTCCTGGTACCTGGCGGTGCTGCAGTCCAACTGCAGGTCGCGGCTATGGCCGCCGTGCTGCTGGTGGCTGCTGCCTCGCTCCTTGCTCACTGCCGCTGCTGCGCTAGCTCGCGCGGCTGCTGCTGCTCCGTGCTGCGCTAAGAATAGCGCTGGTGTTGCTCCTACTGTTGAACCGATATCACTGGCGCTCGAGCAGCGTCCCAGTGTTCGATCCCTCAGAATGAGGCCGGACCGGTCTTTAGTACCGATGGGCAGGAGGCCGGCCTCAATGCTGCGAGGCCTGGCCGTGACCTGAACCGTCGAGATCGTCGGTTCAGATCACACCGGCGGGCGGCAGCCTCAAGAGCGCCGCCAGGCCCAAACGGTAATGTCGTTTGGGCCTGCCCGTCGGGTCTGGTCCAAAGATGCGGCCTTTCGGCCTGCTGTACCCCAAGTCTGGACCTTTAGGCCCTACTGTGTCCCTCTGGCCCTAAGTCGGGTCCGGAAGGACCCGTGTGGCGTCGAAGATGTAACACACTCCCCCTCTTAAAAGACCGAGCTACCTGCGAGGGCGGAGTTGTCTGTCCGATACCGGGGCGGGTCGGGCGGGACGAGCTGCTTCCTTGGCAAGGCGTCGCTTCTCATAGTCGGCGAAGATAAGGGGTGCAGAAGTCTGCAAGTCTGCACTAGAGATCCACCGAGTGTTGTCAGGCGCACATTGCTTGAATGTGACTTTGAACTGCATTGGCTTGTTGTCATACTTGTGGTGTGTGATGACTCGGTCCACTGCCTGATGTCCGTCCTTAGAAGGCGGATCCTGTGATCGACGGCCGGGAAACTCGTCGGCGGAAGGTGGCGTGTAGATGGCCAGCTTCGACGAGTGGAAGACCCGGTGCACAGGAAGGTGCGGAGGAATGTTGACCACAATGGAAGGACCTGCAGGGTCGTCTCCAACGATAGAAGTGACTTCCCATGGTCCGAACCATTTCGGAAGGAGTTTGCGCGAAACGTCCTGCTCGAGCGCAAATTCCTCGGGGAGGACCCAAACAAGGTCTCCCTCGCGAAAAGGACATGGAAGTCGACATTGGTTAGCTTGCTGCTGCATGCGGATTTGAGCCTTTTGCATATTCGTGTGGGCTTTGATCAGCAAGTCCCGGTACTTCCGAACGGAAGCGGGAGAGCAAGGGACGTCTATGTCGGCGGCCTGTGGCAGAAGGAGATCAGCGAAGATCCGTGCTTTCTCTCCACCATGATGTAGCTCGAATGGTGTGACGCAGATCATCGGATGCACCGAAGTGTTGTAGGCGAACTCAATGTCGGGAAGCCGGTCAACCCAATCTTTCTGGTCGGGACGGATGAGCGTACGCAACATCATCTGAGCAGTCAGGTGTGCTCGCTCCGTCTGGCCATCCGTCTGCGGGTGTCGAGCCGAGCTCGGCTTCATTGTCATACCGGACTCAGCCATAAGGGAAGTCCAAAAGGATGACATGAAGCGAGTATCTCGGTCGCTCACTATGTCTTCCGGAACACCCTGGTTGGTAATCCAACCGGTGTGCAAGAGTCATGCGAGCTCAGGTGATGCAGCATGATACTTGCACGGAAGGAAGCGATCATACTTGCTCAAAAGGTCAACGACCGTGAGAATACCGTCATGGCCGAGGCGATCGCGGGGGAACGGGCCTGCCACGTCCATAGCAATGGAAAGGCGCGATGCCTGAGGAATCGGCAACGGTTTCAGTTCGCCGAAGGGGACTCGGGATCGACCCTTGTTACGGTGGCAAACTGCACATGACTCAATGTACCTCGTGACGTCATGAAGGACGTCGGGCCAGTGAAAACGCTGGCGGAGGCTTGGTAATGTGCGGTTTACGCCAAGGTGTGTCGAAAGTCGTGCGTCGTGGAATTGGCCGAGAAGACGAGTCCGTAAGATGCGATCTTGGGGCACAACTAGCAAGTCCTTTCCTCTCGTGTGAAGGAGAAGGAACCCGTCGGAAATCCGATAATGGCTAGCCGGCGGGTGATCCGATGAAAGCTCCGCGTAAAGCGTAGAGTAAGTCGGATCGGACTTGTAGCCTTTGACGAAATGCGGCTGCAGATCGTCATCGAGGTCGAATGTCGTGGTCACAATGGCACAAAAATCGGGCCGTCGTGAGAGGGCGTCCGCAGCTCGATTGGCGGGACCGAGAATGTGGCACGGGTCAAAGTCGAACTGGTCGATGTAATACATCCATCGACCGATCACGCTAGTGACTGTATCCTGTGTTTTATAAAAGGTCAACGGATTGTTGTCCGTATTCCATTTAAAACGCCGACGGCCGAGAAGAAAGTGGCGCCACCATTTGAGAACGGTGACGAATGCGAGTAGCTCTTTCTTCCTAGCGTCGTCTAGAGTGTTGACGAGAGGCACCTTTTGGGATAAATACTCGAACGGATGCCAACCGTCGTCGTGACACTGTTCCAACACCGCACCAATACCGTATCCTGAAGCGTCCGTAGTCACTTGGGTGGGAAGGGTGGGGTCGTATATACGGAGGGCAGGTGAGGCTTGCATCGCTGCCTTCAACGTGGTGAACGCGCCACGGGCTGCGTCGTCGAACTCGAAGGGCACCTTCGGGGACTGAAGTCTCGACAAAGGAGCGACCACTTTCGAGTATGACTCGACGAATCGCTGATAATATCCAGCCAAACCCATGAAAGAGCGTACATCCGTCACCACTTTCAAGTATGACTCGACGAATCGCTGATAATATCCAGCCAAACCCATGAAAGAGCGTACATCCGTCGTGCAACGGGGTTTCGGCCAATCCACGATGGCTTGGATCTTGTCCGCTAAGGGACGAATGCCTTTCGGCGTAATATAGTGACCCAAGTACTCAAGCTCCTGCTTGGCGAACTCGCACTTGTCGAGATTCGCTTTGTACTTGGCCAGTCGCAAACGATCCAAAACAACGTGAAGGTGTACGATGTGCTCGTCCAACGTCCTACTATAAACCAAGATGTCATCAAGGTAGATGAGGACGCTGCGATCGAGCAAGTTGCGAAACTTAGTCGTCATCGCTGCTTGGAAAGTCGCGGGGGCATTGGTGAGGCCAAATGGCATGACAACCCACTCAAAGTGCCCGCACCGTGTCTTGAACGCGGTTTTGTACCGATCTTGAGGCTGGATTTCAATCTGGTGGTAACCTGACTTCAAGTCCAACTTTGAGAAGTACGTGGCGCCGCCTAACCGCTCTAGGAGATCATCAATCCGAGGGAGAGGGCCGGCGTTCTTTACGGTTTGTGCGTTAATTTTGCGATAGTCGATGCATAACCGTAGATCTTTGTTCTTCGTCCGGACGAAGAGAACAGGGGCACTGTAAGGCGAACAACTAGGGCGAATCCAACCCTTATCAAGGAGGTCGTCGAGTTGTGCGCAAAGCACCTCGAGTTCCTCTTCGCTCATGCGGTAAATGCATCCACGCGGAGGGACGGCGCCAGTCTCGAGAGTGATCCCGTGACGTATGGGCCGATCCGGAACCGTTCCGGTGGGAGCCTCGAAGACGTCTCTATACTCGTCCACGAGGTGAGAAATGCGTGGGTCTGGCGGTGACGCAGCTGGTCCGTCCGGCGAGGGGAGAGCATGCAAGAATACAAGGCCCATCTCCTTGACGTCATTCCGAGCTATGGCATCGCGAATTCTCGCAACGGAAACCACGTGACAAGCAATCGAAGTGTGAGGGGTCATGACCGTACATGGGACTAACACTTCGTTCCGATCACGGATGTGAACGGTCCGGTCGTGGAAGTTCACCGGATGATCAGCGCTACGCAACCAAGACATGCCTAGAATCATGTCGAACTTGGTGTCGAGGATGTCAAAAGACACCGGCTCGCACGCAAGTGGCGCAAAGTATATCGGAA